ATACAATACGGTTGCATTCTTTATTTTGATTATTTTGTTAAATTTAAAAAAACTATTTTCGTGATAATATGAAAATTTTTTTGAATTTAAATTTAATGCTCATTGCTACGGGTTTGAGTTACTGTTACATTCAAGTATTCAATTAAATGAAAATGAATTTTGAAATTTATTAAATTTATCAACATTCAATAAAACTTTTTATTAAAACGTTATTGGTAGGACAGAAAAATAACTGAACTACTAAAATGTAAAATATTTCTATAGCAAAATTAATGATAAAAATGTCATTGCATACATCAGAGATTGTGTTACTCGCCAAAGCGCCAAAAAATTTGGCAGACGTTACCTTCGTTGGCTACAGCACTTGCCTCTACACGGTCGAACAAAATGTTGAAGAAATAGCAGAAAAAGATATCCCATCCATCAACCAAATTTTAAACAAATTAGCCAAAGAAAGTCGCCAGGATACTATTAGTCTCACAACGGAGAAGCGGAAAGTTTCGGTTGTTAGACCAATAAATGAGAATTTGTACCATAACGATCCAACGATTCGTAAATTTGAAAAGGTACCGGCAGATGGTAGCTCTATTTTGAGTAAAAAAATTACTGCGAATGAGAATACTAAGAGGAGTACTTACATGCCCAAACAGAAAGATGGCACAATTGAGAAACCAGATGAAAATTTTTTGAAAAAGACATCGGATTCATTAGAAAATTCTTCGATTAATACTAAGCGTAAAAAGAGTAACATCAATTTATTTGAAAACCAAGATGCAGAGGAGAGTAAAAGATCAGTAGAGCGTTATGAAAATACGAAACTAATGGTTGAGACAAAAATAGAAAAGGTCGAAACAAAACAGGAAAAAATCGAAACGAAATCGGAAAAATCGAGTCAGAAGAACAAAATTGCAAATATCTACCAAACATCAATTACTGACCAAAACGACCAAATTGTGGCTGCGGTTGAAGAGATTTACGATACCCTGGCAGAGGAATACGAGACCGTTGATGACGACTTGCTGACGAAAGTAAAATATCTTAATAACAAATATTACAATTCATCAACTACTTCAGATGATTCCGATTATGAGGGTTCTGAATTTAAGAAAGATAAAAAGTCAACGAAAGTTACGACAAAATATAACTCAGCCCCGAAGCCACCAAAAATAGATTACGAAATGTACGAAACAGTCGATGTCTGCCAATCAACATCCACTGACGTCTGCAGAAAGTCAGCCCCCCTCCCAAGCATACCAACAGCATCGCAGCAGAGCAAACTTAGCCTCGTCGACAGATTTAAAACTATGGCAAGCAGGATGTTCTTTTACAATTCCAGCCCTTCCACTGCTACTTCAAGACGCTGGAGCAACATAGAAGACATTCCGAAATCAATTGACATATCAAAATTAACGATGAACGAGGTCGATGAATGTCTGTTTCACTTGAAACTGGATAAATACAGGAAACAGTTTAGCAAAAATCAAATAGACGGTTTGATTTTGTACGGCTTGAATGAACAAACTTTAATTCAGAAGTTCAAGATGGATTCGCTAGAGGCCAGAAAACTTGTTATGTTCTGTCACGATCGGTGGAGGCCTGTTTGAAGCCATTTTTGAATTCAGTTTTTGACTAATTTTATACAAACGACACACGGAATTTTAGTCCGTACTTGCTCTAGCGATACATTTACTATAATTTACCAAGGGAAGTAACTGTGAATTTGTGAATTTTAAAGCGGATTTGTGGCGATTATGTATAGCCTGACTACTCAATTCTTGCAGGTCAATGTTAACTTTAAGTACTATAGTTCAATTCCTATGCTAAAATTCCGTGCAGCTACGTTTTAATTTGTTTTTTTTATAAAAAAAATGGTGATATTTGTTTATATAATGTTGAGTTTTTTTAAGACTTGCAAAACATTTTATTGCATGACGAAATACAAATTATCTTAATTATCTATGATTTTCTTCTTCTTAATTAAATTTACCGTTAAAAATAAATTAAACTATTGAAATATAAATTTTATTTTACTTGACGTTTCGAAGAATAACAAAAATATAAATACATAATATACAACTTGTAGGAAGGATACCGCGTATATAGACTTTCATTAGAAAAACTCTATAACCTGCAATGGTTATAAAAAAAACAACAATAATCATGATAATAATTATTATTATTTAAAAAATAATAATAAGCGTCATGGTGAAATACACTGAAGATGACAACGAATAAATCAAAAAGCAATGATTATAAAGATAGTAGAGTACACGTATGTATATAGGTTTCTTTATTGGCTGGTCATCTTCTTTGGTCTCCTTTTCTTCATCGATAGCATCATATTCCTTTTTGTCACTATTTACAATGCTAGTTTTTATAACTTCTTTGTTTTCGTTGTTGGTTAAGTGCCGGGTTGGAAGTGAGGTTATATATATATAAGAGAATAAATAAATATATATAAAGAGAGAGAGAGAGAGAGAGTGCAAAGATAGAGAGAGAAAATGAAAATACGTAAAATGTATTAATTATATTAATATAATATAATAATAATAATGATGATAATAATAAAAATGGCTTGGCAAGTTCATAAATAATTATACGAAGTACTCATGACGTACGTGCATGTTTATTATACCTCTGCAGTCAGCAAGTATGATAAACATTGATTTCTGAAGTTGTATTTTCAGCTATTTTAGTAATTATTTAGTGGTAATAGTAGTAATAGTATTAGTAGTAGTAGTAGTATTAGTAGTTGTTGTTGTTGTAGTAGATGTGGGGATAGTAGTAGTAATAGTAGTGGTGGTGGTAGTGGTAGTAACAGAGGTAGTAATAGTTATTAGTAGTGTTTTACTGACAAATTTTCATATTCACCTAGTCAACAAATTTTTTTAAATTTTTTCATTATTCTAGCAGCAAGCATCAGTTTTGTCATTGTCCAAAAATATTGATTCTATCAGAAAGAAGATTACCTTTTAAATTTTAAAGCATAACCTTTCATACTTGCTATGAAATTGAAAAAAATAATTCAGAAAGGCAAAACGTAATTACAAATGAATTCTTCAAATAGCAAGAGAACTAACATAATAGTATCAAATTGATTTAAAAAAAATTTCAGAAGCGGAAAATTAGATTAAAAATAATTTCTCCGGACAAGAAGACGAATAAGAAATGGAACCTGGGATAGAACTGGCTCTCACATCGTACACTTTGCGCCACAACCAAAATTCATTTGTAACTTGTTTCTTTCATTCAAAACAATCATTCACTACAACTACGCCACTGCTACTACTATTACTACTATAACTGCTGCTGCTTTTACAGCTGTTACATCTACTACTAATAATAATACTACTACCAATACTTTTTCAATACTACTAAAACCATTACTAATATTGCTAATGCTAATACTGCTACTAAAACTAATACCACTACCAGCACTACCAACATTACTACTACTATTACTACTACTACTACTCTCGCTGTTGCTACTACTACTGCTAATTTTCTAACGTATAAATAGAAAGAGGTGAATGAACGACGACTCATAAATCTTTCGTAACTCTGGGATGAAATGTTATTTGTTTGAGTGACGAAAATAAAACTGAATCTGCTGTTTCTTCAGAGATGTCTTCAATCATCACTGATGTTGAAAAAGTTTGGTTCACATCAAGCTATGATGGTGTTGAAGTTTAACATTAGAATTTAGATTATACAATATAAAGAATTAAATAAATAATAATAATAATTAAATAAACAAAAACCGCTAATTCTTCCAAGCATCAGTATTCTTAATAAAACATTTAATCTTCATTATATTCAATATAAAAAACCTTAAAATGATACTCAAAATTGATATATGGACGTCAGGCGAAACAGGTACCCAATGAAAGTGTGAACAACCAACCATTCTATAAATCTTAACGAAAAACACAATTCTGGTTGTTCTGTTTTAATTGGTCCAGATAGAATACGAACTTTTTCATTTTTCATCTTGTCTAGAAATTATCTCTCTCTCTCTCTCTCTTTCTCTCTTCCTCTCTCTCTCTCTCTCTCTCTTTCATGCATGCAAACAAAAAAGAAACAATCTTTCTCTCTGGATCTCCTTTATCATTTATCATTTCTTCCCTCTTTCCGTTTCTCTATTTTTTTTTCTTTCTTCTTCTCGTTCTGTCTTCTTTAGTTTTCCTTTTTTTTGCCATATTACAAGACAGTCACTTTTTTTTAAAAAGACAAACCCGTAAAAAACACTTTCCATGTCTAACACATTCAAAGAAGATCAATTTAGATCTAACTACAGTAGCCTTTGCTTCATTTCAACTTAAAATAAATAAAATTAATTTATACGGAAATAAACTAATTGAGATGACGATGGTGATTAAAATCATACCTGGCATGAATATGACTACAGGTGTAAATATTAGTATATATATATATATATAAATATATATATATATATATATATATATATTTTTATTCACATATTTATCTTTCTTCCTGATAAACAAAAAAATGAATGAATGAATGAACGAACGAACGAGCGAACGAATGAATGAATGAAAAAAGAAATGAATGAGAGAATGAATGAATGAATGAAGAGAGCGTATGTACTTACATTGTATTTGTAATCAACGGTGCGTAAAAATTTAAAAAGTAGAGTAATTTTTTAACTACATTCAGGCATTGTATTGTTGAAATTTGCTGTATATTTGGATAAAGACATTTTTATTTACGCATTCTTTTAAAAAATGTTCTTCCAAATAAGCGTTAACTTTAGCGACTGGATGAAATAACTCTACCAAAGAAACTTAATTAAATATCATAATTTGCGGCAAACAAACAAGAGAACAAACATACAAACATACATACATAAAACATACATACATACATACATACATACATACATACATACATACATACATACATACATACATACATACATACATACATACATACATGCATGCATACATACATACATACATACATACATACATACATACATA